GTAAATGTTTAATGGGAAATTTACCAATTTTTAAATGTTGACGCGTCACTTTAAGACAAATGAAACACATCCGCAGGCTGGCCATGCTGCCCATGAGATTCCACAGCTCAAAAGAGGGGCAGGTGGCCTTTGGGACAAATGGCCAGGCCAAGACCACTGTGGCCAATGTTTACCAAGCCCAACCACATTACCTCTCGTTCCACCCTCCTGGCACCCGGCTAGGACAGTTAGGAGCCCTGTTTTACAGATAGGACAATCGAGGCTCTGAGCTAGTGAGGGGCAGCTGTGCCCTGGCACTGTGGGAACTGCTGGCCTGGTGGGCCTGGGGTCCTTCACACCTTCGCTGAAATCACAGCTCCCAGGCCAAGGGAGGAGGGGGTTGTGATGAGGGGAGGGAGAAGAAAGGTACGCAGTGTGGGGGTCGGGTCTGAGCTGGACCAGCCTTGGAGGAATGGGAGCCTGTGGACAGCCAGAGATCTGACAGCAGATTCTGTCCCCAGCCATGTGTACCTGTGGCAGGGACATCCCCAGCCCATGCTGCTGGCATTGGCCATCCCAGTAGGGCCGGCCCCACTCTCACAAAGTCAGCTTGTGCCAGGCGAGCAGGAAGGAAAGCCACTGGCGTTATTGGATTCCCAGCAGGGCAGAGGCAGGCTGGGACCGGTGTGCTCACGTTAACATGTGTCTCGGTACGCCCAGACTCCCTTCTGCCAGGAACTAGGGCCACCTGGGGCTTTGACACAGTGTCCTATTGGGTGTGCGAGTTCTCAGGAGACTTTTGAAACCATGTGCCCTCCTGCAAGTTGGGCACAGAGGTAGGAGCGTGGAGCCAGATGGCCTGGATTGAACAGTTTCTTACTGTGTGGCCTGGGACAAACAACCTTACCTTCATGCCTCAGGACTCTCCTCTGCAAACCAGAGATGGTACCTAACTGTGGGGTTGCTAGAGGATTAAATAAGTAATATATATATGCAAAGTGCTTAGGGCTGTGCTTGGGTGTAAGGACTGCTGGGCAGGGTTCGTTGTCATTATCATGATCTCCAGCCCAGGTCCCAGGAATGAGCTTCCACTTTGAGTCAGCACCTCCCTCCCATCACCATGACAACCCGCATCTCAGGGAGTGGGGGCATCAGCAGGGGACAAGGAGGCTTCTCCCTGCTCGGTCCTGCTCCTTGAGGCCTCCCGCCTGGGACTGGAGGCCCTCCCATATGTTCTGGATAACCCTTTTCTAGAAACCACCAATAAATTTAGTGAGACCCTCGATGAATCTAGTGAGACCCTTGAGGATATGAAAAAGGACCAACTAGAAATTAAGCATACACTGACTGAAATTAGAATATGTCTGTGAGCAAATGTGCTTCTTAGCAACAACAATAATAAAACCATGAGCAGGCCCTGGGTTCAGGTAATTGCTTGTATGAGCGTCTCTAGACCTTGGAGGGTGGAATGGGGAGGGGAAGGACGGGGAATAGGATATTGTGGAAAATGGAGCCTTCCTTTTCCAGCTTAAACAAAAACATTGGAAGTGCAGTCATGCGTCACTTAATGATTGGAAATGCGTCGTTAGGCGATGTCTTCGTTGTGCAAACAACACAGAGTGCACTTACACAAACCTAGACGCTCTAGCCTCCTGCACACGTAGGCTGTGTGGTCCAACCTATGGCCTCCTGATGACAAACCTATACAGCATGTTACTGTACTGAATACTGCAGCCAATTATAACTCGCTGTGCTATGACATGATGGCAGCTATGAAGTCACTAGGTGGTAGGAATTTCGGCTCCATTATAATCCTATGGGACCATTTGCACATACGCAGTCCATCTTACTGCCTAGTGAGCACCCCAGGGGGCGCCTGCTCTAATGAGCAACAGAGTCGGTGCCGGTCAGCCTGGTGTTGGCAGGGTGGAAGGGCAGCAGGGGTGCCAGAGTTAGCAAACACAAATACAGGATGCCCAGCAACTTCTGCATTTCAAATAAACAACGCATGTTTAGTGTAAGTAGGTTCCAGTATTTGGACATATTTATAGTAAAAATGACTCTGAAATTCAAATGTCACTGGGCATCTTGTGTTTTATCTGGGTAGGCTGTGTGGTCCAACCTATGGCCTCCTGACGACAAACCTATACAGCATGTTCCTGTACTGAATACTGCAGCCAAGTATAACTCGCTGTGCTATGACATGATGGCAGCCATGAAGTCACTAGGTGGTAGGAATTTCAGCTCCATTATAATCTTATGGGACCATTTGCACATACGCAGTCCATCTTACTGCCTAGTGAGCACCCCAGGGGGCGCCTGCTCTAATGAGCAACAGAGTCGGTGCCGGTCAGCCTGGTGTTGGCAGGGTGGAAGGGCAGCAGGGGTGCCAGAGTTAGCAAACACAAATACAGGATGCCCAGCAACTTCTGCATTTCAAATAAACAACGCATGTTTAGTGTAAGTAGGTTCCAGTATTTGGACATATTTATAGTAAAAATGACTCTGAAATTCAAATGTCACTGGGCATCTTGTGTTTTATCTGGCAACCCTGAGGTGAAGTCTTTGCCTGCTTAGAGAAAACTCCAGACACCATTTATAAAAATTGCCCTACTTGGGTGGCTCCGTTGGAAGGAGCGCCATCCCATAAACCAAAAGGCTGTGGTGAGTGGATTCCTGGTCAGGGCACGAACCGAGGTTGTGGCTTCCATCCCTGGTCTGGGTGCATACTGGAGGCAGCAGATCTATGTTTCTCTCACTTCGATGTTTCTCGCTCTCTGTCTCTCCCTTCCTCTCTCTCTGAATCGATAAAAATATATCCTTGGATGACGATTAAAAAATAATAATAGGGAGCACTTTCTATTTACTTGGTGGGATGCTGCCCAATTCATGAATTGTTGAATAAAGCCAACTAGATCTTTTAAAAATTAATAATAATAATAATTTTTAAATTGGCTATTTTAAAAAATAAAATTAAAACCACCTACTTTTGCCCAGGCCCTGCTCAGGGCTCAGTGTGAGCTCTGGATGACAGACCCAAGGACACCCGGCAGGCCAGGGCACAGGGTTAGGGTCAGGGGCCCACGGAAGCCCTCTCCTCTGACTCTCTTTTCCCTTCTAGTTTCAGCTACCGCAGCGGGCATCATGGCCGTGGACGTGGCGGAACACCACTTGAGCGGTGAGTCCCAGAGCAAGCATGCCGTCTCACAGGACCCTCCTGCCAGGCCTGGGTGCAGGTGTCAGTAGGACGCCCATCATGGCCCTGTTTTACTGGGAAGGCCCATCAGTGACTTACCCAAGGTCACATAGCCTGAGGACACAGGGCTGGGACCAGTCTGAAATCTCTTCATCATTTTGCTCCAGTGGCTTCCTCTGTGGAAGTGACTCTCTCCTTTTGACTCGAGGGGGTCCCCCAGAAGGCCCATGTCCCGCTGCTCCCTAAAGATGAGCCTCTGACACAGAATCCACTTGCCAGGGCCGCTCCTGGAGCCTCTCAAGTAACCAAGTGAGAGCAAACCCAGGAAGGTTGACGTGAGATCCACAGGACATTCAACTCAGAGATCACCCAGACCAGGGACGGCAAGTACCTGGGATGCAGCTCTCGCCTTCCCCGTGCACCCTGGCAGGCACCGAGCTTGAGGATGGGGTCACATGACACCAGACCCACTTCTCCCCATCTCTTCTCCTTACGTTACTGTCCCCGTTTGCAGATAGGGAAAGGGAGGTTCAGGAGGGAAAGGGTCAGTGAGAAAGGAACAGGGTCAGGACATGAGCCCAGGTCTCCTGACTGCTCCCATCACTCAGCTCCTGCCCTGGCGCGGCCTCCAGCCCAGGGCTGAGCTGTGCACAGGAACCACCTTTCCCAACCACCGCCAGGGATTCTCACCGCAGGCTCCCAGGTCTTGGCATGGCCTGGAGCATGTGATGGAACCTCTCTGAGCCTCCATTTACTTGGTGAGGCCTGCCTCAAGGACTGCTGGGAAGACTCAGTGAGCTAACCTATGCAAAGTGCCCAACACAGTGGAAACATAACTCTCCCCCAACTCCAGGTCTTTGCACATGCTGTTCCCTTTGCCTGGAGTACTTCCTGCCTCTCCCTGGCTAAGTCCTCGGATGTGCTGTGGAGATCTGGAGCAAGATTGACAGTGGATATCTCCTCTGTCCCTCAGCTTCCTCGTCTGTAAAATGGGGATAATAGTAGAACCTCCCTCACACAGTTGTTCTGAGGAGTCAGTGGGTTAATGCACATGAAGTGCTTGGAACAGAGCCAGGCAAATAGGAAATAGAAGGGAACCTCTTAGAACTCCAACTCCTCCTGGTCCTTATTTCTGGTCTCAATCTAGACCTCTCTTCCCTTGGGAATTCTTCCATAGCGTCCTAAGGCTGGCACCCAGGATATGAATAAACAAATGAGTCTCAATTGAGGCTTTTCCTTTCATGCCCTCCGTCCACCAGGGCTCCGGCTTCAGTCCCTCCTTTCCCTGGGTTCCTCACTCCCAGAGGAGTCCGGCTCTGCTTGGCCACCTTGCTGTGCCCATTGCCTGTGCCCGCCCACTGACCTGCCCCTACCAACATCCAGGCCCTACTGTGCACATCTCAGTAGGAGCCCCTCACGTATGCCCCTCACTCTGCAATTAAGCAGGAAGACCGTGACCTCCCTTGACCTCCGCAGGACTGGCCCTGGGGCCCCGCTGTAGATCCTTGCTGTGGCCTCATTTGGACCACAAATTACATTCCAGCAGCAGGAGTCAGAAGTAAGTAGTGTTTGCTCCCAGCTCCCGCCTCCTGAATTCTTGCTCTTCTCATTCCTCCCTAGTCCGCCCCGGCCTTAGCCTTTGATGTGTGATTTTTACATCAAAACCATGTTGTTATACCATGTTGGGGATTGATGTTTTTCTCTTTGCATTGCCCGAAAGGTTTCTCTACATCACCACCCTGACATCCTTGTCATCCTCAAAGGCCAGTGCCAGTCCCTCCTGAGGCCGGGGTCAGACCTCCGGGCTGTTTCCAGATGTCTGCTGTTATAAATACAGCCCGGTGACTCACACCAGAGAGAAACCTGTGGGGACGTTTCCCTGAGAATAAATTCCCGGGGTGGCACCACTGGATGGGGATGTTTGGTGGCCATCTTTTTCCGGATGAGACTGGGCCCAGAGAGGCTAGGTCCGTGGTCGGCAAACTGCGGCTCGTGAGCCACAGGCGGCTCTTTGGCCCCTTGAGTGTGGCTCTTCCTAAGCCTTAGGAGTACCCCATTTAAGTTAATAACAATGTACCTACCTAGATAGTTTAGGTTTCAAAAATTTGGCTCTCAAAAGAAATTTCAGTCGTTGTACTGTTGATATTTGGCTCTGTTGACTAATGAGTTTGCCGACCACTGGGCTAGGTGACCTGGACTTCCCACCCCCGTGGAGTTGAGCCCATAGATAGGTGTGTTCTTTTGCCTCAGCCTCAGGTCTCCTCTAGAAAGTAGAGGTAGAGGCCTCACAGGGTGCTAAGTGCTGGATAGATGCCAGGGCTGCAGGCGGGGCCCCGCCCTTCTCCAGAATATGTTTAGCATAAATTCTGGCTAAAGTTGGCACAATCAATTTTTGGAGTATATTCATCATGCCAAAAGAAACCCCATATTCCACACTCCTCTCTACTCCCCTAACCCCTGACAATCACTAATCTATTTTCTGCCTATATAGATTTGCCTGTTTTGGACATATAAATAGAATCATACAACATATGGTCTTTCGTATCTGGCTCGTTTCACTTAACATGATGATTTCAAGGTTCATCCATGTTGTAATATATAACAGTATATCATTCCTTTAAAGGTATATATTTTTTTAAATTGACTTGAGAAAGGGAGAGTGGGAGAGAGAGAGAAACATCCATCAGTTGCTTCCTGCACACGCCCTCAAACCTGCAACCTGGATATGTGCCCTGACCAGGAATTGAACCTGAGACCCTTTGGTACACAGGATGGTACTCCAACCACCTGAGCCACACTGGCCAGGGCAGTACTTCATTCTTTTTTATTGCTGAGTATTATTCCATTGCATAGATATACTATATTTTATTTACCCATCCATCCATTAATGGACACTGTGTTGTTCTAGGTGAGGTTTGAGGTAAAAATGGGACCATTTTTTTTGTCCCCCAAATCCCTTTCCTTTTTTCCCCCCCAAACCCAAAAGGCTGCTTTGATGATCTGGAAGCCAGAGGTCCTCTGACGGGTGAGGTCTGAGAACTCATAGAGGCAAGAACAAACCTATTTGTTTGAAGCCTAATGAATAGTTAACCACAGCTCTTCCCCTGTTCTAGTCAAGTGTCACTCGTGGTAGAAATGTCTGTTTTTGTGGGAAAGAGGATAGAAGCAGACACCACAGAAGAGTGTCTTCTTACTCACATGCCCCCCAGCCCCGAGCCCCTAGCCTACCACACAGCAGGCGCCCAGTGACTACGCATCCAGTGAGGGGGTAAGTCAGTGCTGAACCACCTGCTCCCGGGTGGGGTCTGTAACCGCAGAGGGGCCCCGGGGCCCGCTAACGAGAGGCTGCTTTTGCCTTGTAGTCATCAAGAGCCCACCTGACTGGGAGGTGGGTGTCTACGCCGCGGGGGCCCTCGCGCTGCTGGGGATCGCAGCTGTGAGCCTGTGGAAGCTCTGGACATCGGGTAGCTTCCCCAGCCCCTCCCCATTCCCCAACTACAACTACAGGTACCTTCAGCAGAAGTATGGCGAGACCTACGCTGAGGCCAGGCAGAAGGTGAGGTTTCTGCTCTTGTGGGTTTTTTTTGGGGGGGCGGGAGAACCCCTTCCTAGCAAATCCGTTGTTCCCTGAGCTAGACTGGCAGGCAAGCACTTCCCCTGCACCACCCTGACTTCTGTGCATATGCCTAGCTCCCCCTTCACCCCTCAACAATCCAGTACTGGAGGGGGACGGAGAGTGTTCATCCCCTTGGAGGGACAGTGCTGCGATTCCCTCGATGTCAGGGGTTCTCAACCTCCTGGCCCTTTAAATACAGTTCCTCATGTTGTGACCCAACCATACAATTATTTTCGTGGCTACTTCATAACCCTCATGTTGCTACTGTTATGAATCGTCAGGTAAATATCTGATATGCAGGATGGTCTTAGGCGACCCCTGTGAAAGGGTCGTTCGACCGCCAAAGGGGTCGTGACCCACAGGTTGAGAACCGCTGCTCGATGTGAAGCTGGTGAAACAAACAGGCCCCTCCTTCCCAGCTGAACATGCTCAACCATTTCTGGCTTCCCTTGCTCTTTTTCCTTTTATTAACGTTGTTAATAACTAGCTAATTACACCAATAACTCTCGTGAGTGTGCAGACAAGAAAAGGGCCTCCTTCTCCTTATTGTAACCTTCCACGATTTATAAGCAGCACCTGGTAATTAAACCCCAAGCGGGTTAGCTTCTCTGACTCAAATAGCCCTTCTGTTCAAACTGCAAGACAAGATGAGCTACTCTCAAGGCTACAAGCTTGCATACCCCTCTCCTGTGGTTTTAAGGACACTCGAGACTTCCCCTCTTGGAGGTGCACACGGAGCTGTGTCCCCCACGCCCCCACTGTCCACTCTCAGGATCAACCTCCACTCCCTCTCCACCCCGTTCCCTCCTGGTTCATTTCCTCCTGTGAACAGGGCCCCGGTCCTGTTTCATATCTCCAGCCTAGCCCAGTGCCTACTTGTTGAATGAATCCATGAATACTTGTTGAATGAATAAATGAATGAATGGTTTCAATTTTAAAAACCATCCTGTGAAAAATATAGTGCGCCTCATAAAATGTATAGACAGACTGTGAATAATTATAAAGGCAGTGCTTACTAAAATACAGGGGAGCCTTGACCTACGAGTGTCCCGACTAACGAGTTTTTTGAGATACCAGCTGTCTTTCCTGCCGATTTTTTGCATTGAGTTGATAGAGTAATTTGAGTTAACGAGCTTCTTAACGAGCTCGGTCTCCAAACTTAAGTCAAGGCCCCACTGTAAGAAGAAAATGAGAGAAACATCCATGATGCGAGAGAATCATGGATCGGCTGCCTCTTGCATGCCCCCCACTGGGGACCGAGCCCGCAACACACTGGCATCTGCCCTTGACCAGAATCGAACCCGGGACTGTTCAGTCCACAGGCCGATGCTCTATCCACTGAGCTGAACCAGCTAGGGCTCCAATATTTTCATCTAACCCCCCGCACCTAGTCTTTTTTCCATGCATAGTCTTTATACAATGAGTGTCATTTCTACTTAGAATTTTATTTTTTTAAATATATTTTTATTGATTTCAGAGAGAAGGAAGAGAGAGATAGAAACATCAATGATGAGAATCATTGATCTGCTGCCTCCTGCACGCCCCACCCTGGGGATCGAGTCCTCAACCTGGGCATGTACCCTGACCGGGAATCAAACCATGATCTCCTGGTTCATAGGTTGATGCTCAACCACTGAGCCACACCAGCTGGGCTAGAATTTTATACTTTTCATCTCAATTATACCTGAAGGATTTTCCCATGTTGTGGAACACCCATTATAAATGTCATGTTAATATCTATGTAACATTCCTCTTTATTTATCTGCCATGATTTACTAAATGCCATCACGAATGATGCGATGAGTGTTTTATAGGTAAAATTGTGTCTTCATTGGTATTATGTACTTTGAATAGATGCCCAGATCTTGAATGACCATATCAGGGAGTACAAACATGTACAGGGCTCTCAGTATATATTGCTGACTGTTTCATCCCTTGGTACTTGGCAGAGAATTTTTCTGACATGATGTAGATACCAGAGAGCACAGCCAGAATCTGTTCCCAGATCCGGGTCCCACATGCTGACTCATTTGGGGTTTCAGAAAGGACTCTCTGTCACTCTGTTGGGGGAACTGTCAATTGGCACAACATTTTCAAAGAGCATTTTGGTGACAAGTGTCAAACGCTTTCAAAAGGGCTGTATTCTCTAAGTCAGGATTTTACAAAAGCTACTCAAGGCTGCATTATTTATAGTTGGGGAAAAAAAAGAGAAACAACATAAATGCTTAATAGTGGGGGCATTGTAAAATAAATTATGGCTGTCTACTCAGAGGGAAATTTGGGGGGGGCATTAAAATTGTGGTAATGAAGACTATGCAGCAACAGGGAGTTGCTTGTGGTACAGAGGCTTCTGTCTTCTCGAATATCGAGGTCAATTTAGACAAAAGAAAATTTGAATATTAGGGTGAGTGTTACCCAACATGAAAGTTTTTCTCATGTTTTGCAGACATTTTTGAAAACTTCCTTTGAGCTGCTTGATCAGCTATTGAGTAGCTGATCTGGACACTGAGATTGCTAACTCTCTTTCCTTTTTATAAACATCACTGCAGTGCACATCTCTATATAGGGAATGCAGTCTTTACAAATAAACATTTTGAGAAAATGCTCTCTTGCATCCTGGTGACAGAGAGCACTGAGTGATGTGAATGACATAAAACAGGGGCCCTCTGAACGCAGTCACGCCCCGTTTTTGCAGAAGGGGAGCCGGGAGGTGCCTTGAATGAGCAGGGATTGCCGTACCTCTTTGCCCTCTCAACACCATTGCCCTTGTGATGCTCCCCTGCCCCCCTTTTCTCACCTGCAGAGAGTGCCTGCCTGGAGCACCCATCGGGCCAGCACTCGGGGACCACCCAGTCGCAAAGGCAGCCTCAGCATGGAGGACACCTTTGAGACCATCAGCGAGCTGGGGCCCCTGGAGCTGATGGGCCGGGAGCTGGACCTGGCCCCCTACGGGACGCTCCGGAAGTCCCAGTCAGTGGACTCCGTCAACTCCATCTCCTCCGTGAGCAATACCTTTGGACAGGACTTCACGCTGGGCCAGGTGGAGGTGAGCATGGACTACGACACGGCCTCCCACACCCTCCACGTGGCTGTGCTGCAGGGGAAGGACCTCCTGGAGCGGGAGGAAACCAGCTTCGAGTCCTGCTTCATGCGCATCAGCCTGCTGCCTGAGGAGCAGATCGTAGGCATTTCCCGGGTAAGTGGGAGCTGCAGGGTGGAGAGAAGTGTGTTCAGGCCCTCAGTCCCCTCACCCCAACCCACCCCACCCCCCACACCTTGCAGGACGGTCTGCAGAGCCAGGCAGGATCTGAGGAGGGCGCTGGAGAGCGGGTTTGGATGCTGACCCCAGAGCCCAAGGTGATGACTATAGGGAGGACAGGGGACAGCCAAGAGGCTAGTTTGGCCAAAGGAAGGAGAGACGTAACTGAAGATCATGAAGACCCTGAATGCTGAGGTCAGGATCCAGAGGTAGGCTTTCTCCCCCAGGCGGGGAGAGAGGGGAGAAGGAGCCCTCAGTTCTCAAGCAAGCGATTGGGTAGGGAACATGGCTCCCCGAGAGCAGAGAGGAGCCTGCCCACAGCCCAGGCAGTCATCCAAGAGTGTGGTTCAGGGAACCTGGAGGTGCTGGTAGATTTATTCCCAAGAAGGCAGGCTTCTTACATCTCAGCCCCACCGATCCCAGTGAGTGGGCGGCTGCCGCAGGCTGGGCAGCCCCCCAGCTTCAGGCAAGGTACCAGGAATGAGGGCTCCTCTCTTTAAATATCACCAGGCAGTGACTAAGGCAGCTTCCCACGGAAGAGGAGCAGTGCCCACAAGTGCACCTTCCTAGGGGCCTGCCCACAGCTTCCTGGGAGGAGACCAGCGGAACCCACCAGGCAGGAATGGGCTTGGAAACGAAGTCAGTGCAACCTCCCCTAGTCATTCCATCCGTCTGTCCATCCCACAACGTTCAGGCAGCTCTGGGGGCTGGGACATCAATGGCTCTGGACTCCACAATTATCCATACTTACTGCACGTGGCCCAGAGCTAGACTTGAACACATGCAAGAACAACGGAGACCGGTTCAGCTAATGCATCGTGAGGGTTCTCTGGAGCCATGGCCACTGAGGTTGGGACTTAGTTGGGGTCGGATTGTGTAAGCTTTCAATGCCAGGCTAATAGATCGGCCCCCACTGAGGGGACAGCAGAGGGCTTTGAAACCATCACAGCTGAGCCCCCCAAAGAAGGATTCGCATTGGTGTTGTGGGGACAGCAGAGCCAGGACTCTAGCCTAGGTCCCAGACTCTCCATCCAGTGCTCTCCCCCTGCCGTGGCCCACAGGACCCTGGCTGCCACCCCCTCCCCCACTTTGACGCGCCCTCCACGGCCCTTTCTCTCTGCAGATCCAGAGGAACGCCTACTCCATCTTCTTCGACGAGAAGTTCTCCACGCCCCTGGACCCTGCTGCCCTGGAGGAGAAGAGCCTGCGGTTCTCGGTGTTCGGCATTGATGAGGACGAGCGGAACGTCAGCACGGGCGTGGTGGAGCTGAAGCTCTCTGTCCTTGACCTTCCGCTGCAGCCCTTCAGCGGCTGGCTCTACCTACAGGATCAGAACAAGGTAAGCCCGCCCACCGTGCACCCGCGAAGCGAGTGTCACACACGCACGCTCCAGAGGAGGGACCCCATTGTCCTCTCCAACGCCCCAAACACCAGCATCTTTAGGAAATGACAGACAGAGACCTGAGCCACGTTCACGGAGGCTCCGTTCACTGCATGCAAAGGAGAAACACCCTGACCCCTGTTCACAGCTCTTCTGCTGCTCCTGCCTCCCAACCTGTAGAAGCTCTACCCCTATAGGGCTTCCGTGAGGGGAGCACTCCTCTGGCCCTGACGTGAGGTGTTTCAGACAGAGGCCAAGCTGAAGTTTACCTTTATCCGTGTCAGAGTGGATGTGCTTGGGAGCATTACTGTTATTTAAGCAAATGCTCTACTACGTAAACGATCCATGCGCCCCGGCCACGGAATGTTCCCCTTGGCCACGTCACTGCATGTGGATGCTGCATTTGACAGGCAACCTCCGGCTTCCTTCCAAGGCAGGACCCACGGTGGTGGGAGAGAGGGAGGGAAGGAGGGAGGGATGGTGCCTGCTTTACGGAGTGGGGAGGGGCCCTTTCCCAATGCCCTGGTAGGAGGGGCCCCAAGAACAGCAGCTTCTCGGTGGAGAAGGAAGCTTCTGACTTTCCCTGGACCTGTCAGGGGACAGAAGTCCTGTAAGCCACCTGCCCGCCCTGCAGGCCGCCGACTCTGTGGGCGAGATCCTGCTGTCCCTCAGCTACCTCCCCACGGCCGAACGCCTCACCGTGGTCGTGGTGAAGGCCAAGAATCTCATTTGGACCAGCGACAAGACCACAGCGGGTAAGGCCCAGCTGGCTGCCTGGCTCCTCCGCGGGGCCGGGGGCGCCTGTGGTCCAGCTGCTGAGCCCTGGGCGCCTGGACACATCTGTAGGTGTGGGGCACGGCGCCAGGCTCCCCACCTCCAGCTCTGGCTGAGCTCAGGAGCCGGGCACAGCGGGAAGACTCATCCAGCTGGGGATACACGGGAACCACAGAGGGAGGCAGGGAGCCCCTACAGGGAGAGAGATGGGAATCTGCGAGCAGAAGGCTGGGGCACTGGGAGGGAGCCAAGGTGGGCACCCACTTCCCAGAACTTCAGTTCACGGTGGAGGCTCCGTGGCCAGAGGCTGGACCGCATTCCAGATCTCAAATGGGGGCGAGGGCCACTGGGATGGTGTGTGTGCCAGGCAGGACCCAATGCCCCGGGTCTGCAGGAGCCTCCAGCCCCAGGTAACAGATGACAGAGGACTGGGGAGCCCAACCACCTGGAGCCTGGGAGAACCCAGGGTCCAGGCAGGTGCAGCAAGGAAACCCAGTGTGGGGTAGGTGAGGACAGACGGAGACTTGTTATTTCAGAGCCCCGCATCGTTGAGTCAAACCCTCTGAGCAGGTGCCGGGTGACTCAGCTGATGGCTGCGCTCCGACCATTTATAGAAGGAAAAGTGGTGGGTCTGCCAAGTCCCCTGAGCTTCGTGTGAGAGGAACACTTCTGGGCTGGGAGGCACACTGCCCAAAGCCCAGCTGTCCTCTGCGTGTGAGCCTCAGTTTTCTCATCCATCAAATAGGAAATAAAGGACCAGCGGCAGGACTGCAGGCGCTAATGGCAATCGTGAAGGTTTAGGCAGTTTAGAGCTAGTGGGCCACGGCGATGGGCAGGGCTGTGTCAGGTAAGTGCGGCCCTGGCCCTCACCTCCACCCCCTCGTCCACCCAGACCCCTACGTCAAGGTGTACCTACTGCAGGATGGGAGGAAGATGAGCAAAAAGAGGACGGCTGTGAAGAGGGATGACCCCAACCCAGTGTTCAATGAAGCCATGATCTTCTCGGTGCCGGCCATTGTGCTCCAGGTGAGGGGAAATGCGCAGGGGCGGGGGCCAGGCCAGGTCGCCCCGCGGCTCTGGGGCCACTTCATCCCCTGCAGCCTAGCTTCCCGGGGCTCCTGCAGGCGCTGATGGTTTGCCTCAAGCCACATAGTCAAGAAGCATTTATTTAGCACCTACTAGATACCAGCCCTATGGTGGGTGCTGGGGACATAGACCCTGCTTCCTGGGTGCCTAGAGGGGCCAGGCAGGAAGGTCCCTAAGCAGTCCTCATCCACTAAGAGCATGCCAGCTGTGGGCGGTCAGGGCTACCTTCTGCAGGAGGGCTTAGCTAAGCTGAAGTCTGGGGGAAGACAGTTCCTGGTGGAGGAAACTGCAGAGACCTGGGGATAAGCCAAGGATGGCCCAAGGGCAGAGTTCTGCCCGAAATCTCCCGAGGTTCTACCCGCAGAGGCTCTGCTGAGCTCCCCACACCCCTGTGGCCTTCAGGAGGGCACCCCCTACCAGCAGAGATATCACAGACCAACGGCAGGGAGACTGCAGAAGATAGGACCTGGGCCACACCAGTGGTCCTGTTTGCATTCCTCAGAGCATGAAGAACTCACCACCTCCCCTCATTACCACCTTCCATCCCGGGGCCTTCCTGACAGTGAGAACGTCCTTTTGTGCGAGGAGCCGAAGCTACCTCTTAGCCCTGGGGCTGCACAGAGACCTCCTTAACCTCCCCTCCGGGACACCCTGTCTAAATTTGAGAGCCCAGAGGTCTGCCTCAGTCTGGGTGTTCCTGACCCAGACAAACATCCCAGCATCTCTGGGTGGTCCTGGGCATTGCTGCCTTGCCTTGCCACCCTCCTGGGACAGGCTGCCCATCTGGCCCTGCTTCCCCGTGGGTGGTCAGAGTGCCACCATGCCACAGCCTCCAAGGGCCAGAGACTTCTTGGGAAGCTCTAGCTGTGCTCTAGTTTCAGCTTGACTACTTTGACCTCAAGCAGTTTCTTTCCCTTCCTCAGTTGTGTCCAACCTATGATTATATTAGGAGGACCAGCAGGCATTCTGATGCCTGACTGCACAGGCACCTTCCTAAGTACCTTACATTCTAACTCATTTTGTTCCAAGAACAGGTAGGAACTACTATGATCACCATTGTACAGATGGGGAAACTGAGCCCAAGTCACTGTCCAAGGTCATGCAGCAAGGAAGTGGTGAGGCGGCATCTGCACCTGGGCCACCTGGTGCTGCCGCTGTGGAGGGCGGGAGGCAGCAACAGAAGCCTGTGGGCTTAGGCAGATCAGAGATGAGGATGTAGAGAGCCGTGCCTGGCACCCGCTGGGGCCCAGGAGCCGTGGAGGACCTCTGGCACGGCCCCTGGTCCCCAGCACTCACGTCATTTCTTCCTCAGGACCTGTCTCTCCGCGTGACAGTGGCTGAGAGCAGCAGTGATGGCCATGGGGACAACATAGGCCATGTCATCATTGGGCCGTCAGCTAGTGGCATGGGCACCACACACTGGAACCAGATGCTGGCCACGCTGCGCAGGCCTGTGTCCATGTGGCACCCCGTCCGGCGAAACTAGCAGCTGGGGCAAGGCCAGGAGGGGCACTTGAGCTGCCTGGAGCCTGGCACAAGCTCAGGGGTGACACCCTTCTCTATTGTCCAGCTGGAGCCATGAATGCCGGGGTCCCCCCATGGACTCCCCATGAGCCAACTCGGTCCCTCGACCTAGACTGCAGTGGAGAAAGAGCCAGAGTCTCTCCCATGAGGACCAGCTGGAGCCGGACACTGACCCATTGTTCTCCCATTTTGAGATCCCCCAACCGGTCTGCCCCTCGGCCTGGAGTGACCTTGGCCTCAGAGCTCCTCATATCCCACCCTGGCTGGGCAGCCAGCGCCACGCTGGGCCAGGCACTAGAACAGAGCAAGTCTTGGGGGGCCGGGCGCTGTGCAGGCACCAGCAGGCGTGACATGAACAAGACACAGACCTCGAAGACGCCAGGAAGACAAGAGCCTCTGTCCTGGTGATCTGCTCAGTGTGAATGGTGGCCCAGCCAGGCAGGGCTCAGGGGGGTGGTGGGGTGAGGGTACGGGGCCTGCAGGACGACATGGGAGCTGTGGCTTGAGGGACAAGGAAAAGAACAGAGTGACCCATCCTGAGTGTTAGGGACGTGGGTTTCTCTGCACACAGCCCTCAGCCCCCTGTGGTGGACACAAGGGCCTCTCCGGGCAGGAGAAGAGACCAAGAGACCAGGCCGAGCAGAGCCCCGCAGGCCACATGGGACCCTGGCTCGGCGTCATCCTCTGAAACCTACTCCCTTGAACCATGACCCTTAGGAGACCCAGAGGCCCGAACCCAGGCCCTGTGTTTAGTCCCTCACACTCCAGGCCTTGGCTCCAAGGCGTTTGCTCTAGTCCTTCAGGCCAGGCCCTGTTGGGCAGAGATGTCGCAGCCTTGGGGGGGAAACCGGGGGGTGGTGGGGCGGCCAGAACACAGACGGCAAGGGATCTGTGGGTGAGGCCTTTGGGGGCTGCAGGCCCCTGAGAGGACACGGGGGATGGAGCAGGAGACCCTTGGGCTGGGCCTTGGAGGGAGGGGCAGCCTGAGCAGTGGCCTCGAAGGATAGTGAAAAGGGGTCAGGACGGACTGTGAGGCTGGGAAGGAGATGGCTCCTAGGGCACGTTCCCAAAGCAGGACCCTGAGATGAGGCTTCAAGGGCGCGGGGTGTCAGGGGACAGCCCTCAGGAGAAGCCAGTCAGGGAGAGAGGGAGCCTGGGGCAGCGAGCAAGCTGTGGCTTCCAGTGTCTAGCCTCGGCCTGACGGCCTGAGGGCTTGGGGAAGCTCGGTGTGAATGGCACCCAGAGGGGTCCTGCTCCAAAGGAAAGGGGCTTGGCCGTCACCCCCACAGGCATCATCTTTGGCTTCTGCCCCACCCCCGGCGGGAGGAAGGGTCACTGGCCGAGGCGGCTTCCATCCTCCACAGGCAGCCGTGCACCTCATAGCTGAGGGCTGGGTGTCCCTGCTGGTTCAAAGGGATGGGGAGGGGGGCGGGGGGCAGTATCTACTCCATGTGGCAATCCATAGGGAGCACATGGGCTCTTGGGCTGGCTGCCTCTGGCCCTGGTGAGCCATGGACACCCAGGCCCACTGGTTGTCCCCAATGATGTGGCAGGAGAGGGTGGCTGGACCACAGTGGGAGGCCCAGGGTAGCATGGGGGCTAGAGGCAGGACTGTGGCTCTCCCTATGTGACACAGCCAGGGCCCAGCACCAGGAGGTCTTCACGGCCCAGGCCAACATAGGGTCCGGGGACACACAGCGGGCGAGCCTGTGCAGCCGGGGGGAGCCCAGACTCTTCCTACCCCGGGGCTGTGCAGTGCAGGCCTTGCTTCCCGCTCCCCTCTCTTCCCTTCCCTCTAACTGCATGACATGTTGACTGTGCACCGGATGGGCGTGGTGGGGACTGAGTATGCTGACTGGAATGATTCTAGAACCAAAATAAAGCTGGGGCAGGAAGGAGGGGGCTTCCAGGAGCCCTGCTCGGCCTGAACACCTTCATCTCTGCTTTAGGAACCAGGGACTCAGGCCTGGGCCCGTGCTGCCCCTGCTGCGGGGTGCCCAGGACTGGGGGAGGGGCAGGGAGGGGTGGCCCCAATCTGGTTAGGGAGACCGTGACTAGGACCAGTGCCGTCATACTGCTTGGGAAACTCAAGGGGCCATGAGCCAGACCTAGTGGGGAGGATGGCAGTGGGGACTATCAAGGAAGGCTTCCCGGTGGTGGTGCCAAACTCAGCCTTCCGGGCAAGAAGTAGCATCAAGCCAAAAAGGGTGGAGAAGGCCCAAGAAGCATTCCTGGCAGAGGAAAGAGCATAAGGAAAAGGGCAGGAGTGGGGGTAGACAAAAACTTGGCTGATATGTCAACCTTGCTAAAGCCGGTATGGGAGGATGGGCGCGAAGAGACCCAGAGGAAAGGTCTGGGGGCAGAAGGGCTGTACGAGTCAGTGGATGCTGGTGTGCAGCCTGCACCTCTAACACTTTGAGGTAGGTACTGTGTCATCTCCTTTTTGTAGATATGGAAACTGAAGCTCAGAGAGGTTAGGTAACTAGCCCAAGATCACACAGCCTAAAGGGCTTAGAGCTGAGATTCAAGCTCAGGCTCCAGAGCTCATGCTCTTAACCGCTAGGCAGCACTGCCCCCTCCCCAGCTCCTGAAGAGTGGGGCTGAGGGGAAACAGAAGCCCCTCTGGATCCCAGGCTGCTATGGTTTCCTACTCCCGGGACCTCCCCTGAGAGATCACAGCAAAGTATGGGAGGAGGAGGATCTGGGTGGACATTCCCAGCACCCCCCGGGGGGCCCGCCCACTCTAAGGCCTGACTGTGAAGAGCTTTTGTGGAACCCCCTCCCCGCACAGGGGAGGCAGGTAACCAACCAGCCAGGCTGTTGCAGGAGCCCGTGAAGGCTGACGCCAGGAAAAGCTCAGAGGCCATGGAAACATGAGCCCTGGCTCTGCAGGGCAGGCAGACTGGACACGAGGAGGGAGAGGAGCCTCCAGGCAGGGGAACTGCCTGCACACGGGTGGCATGTGTCTAGGGACAGAGACCAGGGGTGGCTGAGCTGAGGAGACTTCGTGTCCGGGTGGAGACCGAAGGTCCTTGTCCTGCTGGTAGTGGGGCGCCACAGACAAGTCCTGGGCAGAAGCAAGTCAGAAGGAGAGAGGCAGGAAGGGGAACACTCCAAGCAGCTTTGGAAACGAGGGACATCGGCAGGCTGCTCTGGCTTCGTGAGGGGAGGTCCAGGCTGCCTTTAAGTTCATTCAACAGGGCCCAGACCCAGCTGCTCCCAGCTCTTTCTGCCTCTTCCCCCTTCCTCCAACCCCGGGTTTATGGGCCTGCCTGGAAGGTCCCAGGCCCTCTCGGTCAGGGAGCCTTCAGCGGTAGACTGAGCCCCACCCAAGAGGACAGGTGTGGAGGTTGCGGGCTGACCGGCAGCTCTGGCCAGGCAGGCCCGCATGTGGAAGGAGCAGGACCAGCCAGTTTATCGCCCGCAGTGCCTGCAGCTCCGACTTTCCTTCCTCTCTCCTGCCTGCGGTCGTCTGGGACTGCAGACACCGGAAGGGACGATCCAAAAGGCTAAATAAACACCATGACTGGGTCACGGGACTCCCTCGCTCCCCACCCTCTCCTACCCCATCATCAACCTTCTCCTTCGACCCAGAAGGGTCCATAATGGTGAGGCAGGAGAGGAGGCAGGGGCAGAGGGCTGCGTCCCCGGCCCTGGGCTCCAGTCAAATGGCCACTGAGGCTGAGCTGGTCTTGGGGAACCCGACAGAAGACAACTAGAGAGAAGAGGCCCTTTGGGGTTCGGCCTGCCACACACCTGTGTCTGCTGCTTACTTGCTGTGTGATAAGTCCCTTCCTCTTGAGCCCCTCCCCAAGAATGAGCACATTGGATAAAAAGTCTCTAACGGCCCCCCCATACTCTGATTTCTGGGGATTCTGTGTCTGGAGGCTCTAGAGCCCCATTGCCTGGGTTAGAACCCAAGCTCCCCCACTTATCAGCTGTGGGATCTTTGGGCCTCAGTTTCCTCGATTGTCAGAGTGTAAGAATTATACATACTTCATTGGACGGAATACAATGACACATGCCAAGTGTCTGGCCCACAGTAGGTGCTCAGTAAACGTGAGATCGAGGCTTTGGGTGGAGTTCCTCCTCTTGGGATTTGGTGTTTGGGATGAAAGGGAGGGAAGGTACACGGGGAGGTGTGAGGAGCCAAGGGCCTGTGTGGCCAGCCAAGTCATTTCAAGGGCAGGACTGGACTCTGAAGTTCCACGGCCCTAGCACCCACTTCCCCTCCCCTTCACCCCAGGCAGAGCAGGTGAGGACGGTGCAGAGCCACCACACGGGGGCAGCAGAGACTCAGCTGGAACAGAAGGGGGGGACTCCAGGCCTCAGGGAGGGTGGGGGTGGGGGTGTCAGAAAATGGAGCAGATGGAAGCAGGAGGGTAAGTAATCACCTGTCTGCTGACCCTGAACTCGGGCCATGCGCTGTATTCACTCATGCATGCAACCATGTGTTCCTTTATTCATTTCTTTACTTTCCTTATTGTTCCTTCCTTCCTTCCTTCCTTCCTCTCTCCCCTGCTCCATCATTTTCCTTCTCTTCCCATTTGTCCAGCCAAGCAGTCAATTGGACATGACATCCTGAGCCAAAGGAGGGCCGGTCTGGCCATCTCTGTGCTTCTGGGGTCTTTGGGGCTGTGGCCCACTGTTCAGGGGTCCCCAAAGGACTCTGGGCTTGGGACCCGTGGGACTTCAAGAAGCTGAGTCACCCACAGGCTGGCAGTAAAGGCAGCCACACAAAACAGTATAACAGTAAACAGTATAACAGTGCCCTGGTGGGCCGACTGACCTGGGCCACCTCCTCACCCCAAAATAAACCCCAGGAAAACACTGCTGTCCAGGGCCCAGCCATGTCTGACATTTGGGGAAATTCCTTGCCAATCAGGACGGGTTTTCCTGGCCCTAATCTCTCTCTTGCAGAAGCCTGAGCATAGAGTAGGGGTGAAGCTGGGGTTTAACATCAGTAGATCTGAGGGCCGAATGAACTCATGCATGTGAGGTGTGATGTCGGGAGAGAGTGCGGCTTGGTGGCCAGACCTAGGATTCTGCCTCTTACTAGCTGTGGATCTTAGACAAGAACTTAATCTCTCTGGGCCTCAGGTATCTCATCTGTGAAATGGGGCTAACAATCCCCACCTGCCAGGGGCAGTACCTGCACAGGGTTAGGGATCCATTAATGGGTGCTGCTACAATTAGGAAATGTTCAGTGAAACTGGAAAGCATGACACACATCGAGAGTGACAGTGTGATTATCCCTATAGCAACCAAGGCCAAATGCCTCTGCCTGATTCTCGGCTCCCTCCACCCCAGCCCGGCCTCACCTGCCTTCCAGCCTGGCCACCCAAAGCCTGATGACAGCAGCAGTGGGGAGGCCGTCTTTGGGGGATGGGGCCCCTCCCCACCACTCCTGGGGCGGAGAGCCCTGCTCAGTGGCTATACACCAAGCCCAGTGCCAAGTCACTGCCCAGCCCTGTGGCAGTTTCGGGGAGGGAGGGGCACTTGAAGGGTGGGACAGTCCTAGGATGCTCCTCTATCCAGGTGAGGCTCTATTCAGTCTGCTGACCAGGCCCTGGGTGAGCTTGGAAGATGAGTCAGGGTCAGGGGCCTGGGCTCTGCCTCTGGGCAGGGTGGGGCAGTGACACCTGCCCGGCTGCCTCTTTGGGTCACAGTGAGGTTCAAAGAAGGCTGAGGGGGCTTTTTCCGCACGGAGGACATCGTCATTGATTTTTAGAGGGGCAGGGTAGGAGAAAGAGAGAGAGAAACATGGATTGGTTGCCTCCCCGCTAGAGCCCCAACCAGGGCCGGGATCCAGCCCCAAACCTAGGTATGTGCCCTGACCGGACCTGCCACCTTTCCGTGCACAGGACGATGCTCCAACCAACTGAGCCACACCGGCCAGGGCAGAGGGTGCTTTATCATGCATCGGACTTTGAACTCCATGCAGGTGACATCATGACCTGAGTGGGGGTCGGGGGACAGGGGAGCAAAACCCAGAGACTTCTGCCCCCTTTCCTTGAGCTTCAATGAAAACACTCAGCTCAGCATCTGAGCTCATCCTTTAGATTTCAGTTCTGGTTACTAACAGGGGTGGGAGGTCAGGTTCTACACGACAGCGAAGTGCTCCACTGTCCAGTCCCACCCCAGCACCAGCTCCCCAAGCCGCCTCGCCCTCAGCCACAAGGAAGGACTGTGAACCCCAAAGCCACCCCCTCTCTCTCGCCTCCACTCCTTGCATGTTCTGTTCCCTCGGTTTGGAAAATCTTTCTCCTCCTCCATCTGACTCTTACTTTTTCCTCGACGCTGGTCCTTCTTCTCAGAAGGGTTTCCTGGTGCCCCAACCCAGGTGAGGGGACCCTCTCCCCTACAGCTGTCCACTGCCTGTCCCCATCTCTGTTGTAGCTCATATTACTCTGAGGCCCTGCCTGTCTCCCATTCTAGGCACCGGCTTCTCAGGGTAGGGACTGTGTCTTAAACGGTTAAGGGTCCCTCGGCCCTTGGGCACAGAGACCATCAATGTTGGTTAAATCATGAGGGTCACTCACACGTGGCACCAAACATGTCCCGGATCCTGACCTAAACTCTTTATGGGTGGAAGATTCCATCGCTTCCCCCAGATAATGCCCCAGCCAGAAGCGACAGGTGGCCACCTGCCTGCAGCGACACTTCCTGGTGCTGGCTGGGGGAGGGCAGACAAGGCCTGGCAGAGCCAGGGACTGACCCAGAAGGGCATGCCCAATGCACCGCATTCCTACCTGGCCTGAAACACCTGCAGGGAGGAGCGTGATATCTCATGTCTCCAGCGCCCTTAGGGAAATGCACAGTCATTCATTCATTCATTCATTCATTCATTCCCTCCTCAAAAGTCCCGGCTTCTGCTGGTGCTCCACCTGTACTGGGCCCCTGGAACCCGGTCCCTGTCCCCACCAAGCTGGTAGGCAAACATGGCTGACCCCCACCTCCCTCTTCTTTCCCTGTCCACACCCCTGCACACACGGTCACTGTCCAGCTACTTGTCTCTCCCCACCCCTATCAGACCAGAATTCCCCCCTGAGGATACAGAGACTGAGGCTGGGTCCCCCGCTCCGGTGGTCCCAGCGGGCGCACACAGTAGGTGCTCAAGAAAGTTTTCCTGAGTGGCTCAATGGGATGGGAGGGGAAGTCCCCCCCTCCCCCACTCGAGCCCCAACCCCACGCCTCCCCGCCCCG